TTGCTTGTTGCCCAGGATGAGTGCAGTGGCACAATCTCGGCTCACTACAACCTCTGCCTCCCAGGTTCAAGCAATTCTCATGCCTCAGCCTCCTGAGTAGCTGGGATTGCAGGTGCACACCACCACGCCCAGCTAATTTTTGTATTTTTAATCGAGACAGGGTTTCCCCATGTTGCCCAGGCTGGTCTCGAACTCCCAATCTCAGGTGATCCACCTGCTTCGCCCTCCCAAAGTGCTGAGATTACAGGTGTGAGCCACCACACCTGGCCTACCTTCAATATTGATGTTTCCCACAGTTCTACAATTGGCATTCTTTTCCCACCTTATATACCTGTAGCTCTGAAATTTTAATGTAAATAAGAATTGACTGGGAAACTAAACATAGATTCCTAGGAATAACCCCAGAGAATCTTCAGTCGTTAGACCTAGTGTAAGGCCTAAAAATATGTGTTGTGAACAAGCCTACCAAGTGGACCATTCTCTGAGAAACATTGCTGTGCACATTTATCTCATGAAATCAGTGGCTTCAAAAACTACCTAAACAATAAAGGTTTTGTCTACAATCTGACTTTAATCAAGTATTCTGCTGTATTTCTAAAAGCCTATTTATTATTTCTCTCAATCTATGGATGATCACAGCTGGACTTATCATTTCTCCCACTGTGTTGATTAGTGGGCAGCAATATTCACCTAATTTTCCTAGCCAGAAACTTGAAAGTCATATTTTAGTCCTATGTCTCTATTTGGCCACAGTCCCATTATTTCTCTTACTAAATATCTTTCAGCCTCTCCTCACCCTCCCTAGCTCTTTCAGTTCCCACTACCACTGACTTAAGGCTCTCATTACTTTTCATAATTTAAGTGCCTAGTCTCCAGTTTTACCATTCTTCTTTCACCCAACTCATTTCTCATATTGCCATTATTGTGTTCTTTTAAAATGCAGACCTGAGCATGTCATTACCCTGCTGAAAACCCTTCACTGGCTTGCTACAGACGTAAAATCATCCCAAATTTTTAATAGACTTTATAACACATAAAGTTCTTTATCTGGACTGTCAGTCTTCCCATTTCTTTGCCTTTCCCACTCCAACTTATCCTTAGAAATCATTTCTTCTAGGAAACCTTTTCTGAGTGTGTCTTCCAGATTCTCAGTTGAGACCCATATAATGGGTCTATTCCCATTTTATCCCATGCATATATGTGTCGTACACTTACAACAGAGTATTATAATCTCTTTATTTGCTTTTTTCTTTTTTTTCTTTTTTTTTAAATTGCATTTTGGGTTTTGGGGTACATTTGAAGAACAGTCAAGATAGTTGCATAGGTACATACATGGCAGTGTGATTTGCTGCCTTCCTCCCCTTCACCTATATCGGGCATTTCTCCTCATGCTGTCTCTCCCTAACTCCCCACCCCCCACTGTCCCTCCCCTATTTCCCCCCAACAGACCCCAGTGTGTAGTGCTTCCCTCCCTGTGTCCCTGTGTTCTCATTGTTCAACACCCGCCTATGAGTGAGAACGTGCGGTGTTTGATTTTCTGTTCTTGTGTCAGTTTGCTGAGAATGATGGTTTCCAGGTTCATCCATGTCCCTACAAAGGACACGAACTCATCATTTTTGATGGCTGCATAATATTCCATGGTGTATATGTGCCACATTTTCCCTGTCCAGTCTATCATCAATGGGCATTTGGGTTGTTTCCAGGTCTTTGCTATTGTAAACAGTGCTGCAATGAACATTCGTGTACACGTGTCCTTATAGTAGAACAATTTATAATCCTTTGGATGTATAGCCAGTAATGGGATTGCTGGGTCAAATGGAATTTCTATTTCTAGGTCCTTAAGGAATCGCCACACTGTCTTCCACAATGGTTGAACTGATTTACACTTCCACCAACAATGTAAAAGTGTTCCTATTTCTCCACATCCTCTCCAGCATCTGTTGTCTCTATATTTTTTAATGATCACCATTCTAACTGGTGTGAGATGGTATCTCAATGTAGTTTTGATTTGCATTTCTCTAATGACCAGTGATGATGAGCATTTTTTCATATTTGTTGGCCTCATCGATGTCTTCTTTTGTAAAGTATGTGTTCATATCCTTCACCCACTTTTGAATGGGCTTGTTTGTTTGTTTCTTGTAAATCTGTTTTAGTTCTTTGTAAATTCTGGATATCAGCCCTTTGTCAGATGGGTAGGCTGCAAAAATTTTTTCCCATTCTGTTAGTTGCTGATTCACCCTATTGACTGTTTCTTTTGCCGTTCAGAAGCTATAGAGTTTGATTAGGTCCCATTTGTCTATTTTGGCTTTTGTTGCCAGTGCCTTTGGTGTTTTGGTCATGAAGTCCTTGCCTACGCCTATGTCCTGAATGGTTTTGCCTAGATTTTCTTCTAGGATTTTTATGGTGTTAGGTCTTATGTTTAAGTCTTGAATCCCTGTGGAGTTAATTTTAGTGTAAGGTGTCAGGAAGGGGTCCAGTTTCTGCTTTCTGCACACTGCTAGCCAGTTTTCCCAACACCATTTATTAAACAGGGAATCCTTTCCCCATTGCTTGTTTTTGTCAGGTTTGTGAAAGATCAGATGGTAATAGATATGTTGTGTTGCCTCCGAGGCCTCTGTTCTGTTCCGTTGGTCTATATCTCCGTTTTGGTACCAGTACCATGCTGTTTTGATTACTGTAGCCTTGTAGTATAGTTTGAAGTCCAGTAGTGTGATGCCTCCCGCTTTGTGCTTTTTGCTTAGAATTAACTTGGTTATGCGGGCTCTCTTTTGGTTCCATATGAAGTTTAAGGTGTTTTTTTCCAGTTCTGTGAAGAGGGTCATTGGTAGCTTGATGGGGATAGCGTTGAATCTGTAAATTACTTTGGGCACTATGGCCCATTTTCACGATATGGATTCTTTCTAACCGTGAACATGGAATGTTTCTCCATCTGTTTGTGTCCTCTCATATTTTGTTGAGCAGTGGCTTGTAATTCTCCTTGAAGAGGTCCTTTACGTTCCTTGTTACTTGTATTCCTAGGTATTTTATTCTCTTTGGAGCAACTGTGAATGGCAGTTCGTTATTGATGTGGCTCTCTTTAAGTCTGTTATTGGTGTATAGGAATGCTTGTGGTTTTTGCACATTGATTTTTTATCCTGAGACTTTGCTGAAGTTGCTTATCAGTTTCAGGAGATTTTGGGCTGAGACGATGGGGTCTTCTAGATACACAATCATGTCGTCTGCAAATAGAGACAATTTGACTTCCTCCTTTCCTATTTGAATACCCTTTATTTCTTTTTCTTGCCCGATTGCTCTGGCTAGAACTTCCAGTACTACATTGAATATGAGTGGTGAGAGAGGGCATCCTTGTCTAGTGCCAATTTCAAAGGGAATGCTTCCAGTTTTTGCCCATTCAGTATGATATTGGCTGTTGGTTTGTCATAAATAGCTTTTATTATTTTGAGATATGTTCCGTCAATACCTAGTTTATTGAAGGTCCTTAGTGTAAAGGGCTGTTGAATTTTGTCAAAGCCCTTCTCTGCATCAATTGAGATAATCATGTGGTTTTTGTCTTTGGCTCCGTTTATGTGGTGCATAACGTTTATAGACTTGCGTATGTTGAACCAGCCTTGCATCCTGGGATGAAGCCTACTTGATCATGGTGGATAAGCTTTTGGATGTGCTGTTGCAATCGGCTTGCCAGTATTTTATTG